CCGGACTGGAGCCCTTGAAACATTGGTTTTCATAGCCGGAGCGAGGATACAGGTCAAGTGAAGGAGGGGCAATGGGTCTTCACTAACGCCGACGCCAACCCCCACTTCGGGGTCGGCGGATATAGAGGAATCTAAGAAACGCAATGGGGATCTGCGCACGAGGTAGTCAACGCGACAATATACGATATGTCAAAGATATGAAAGCATCTGCGAGACGGCCTCGAGAGCATCCGCGCGACAGAATATAATAGGCTAAAGATATAGAAGAATACGAGAATCCCTCCCAATAGGAGGCCCTCGTAAGACGCCTTTCTTCTTCTCGGGATGTCTTATGTCAAAGACCCAATATCTGCTGCCATAAGATATGCGCACATTCGTTGTGCAAGTTTTAATTTCTGACATCATAGCTTGCGCTGAGTCATGGTCTGAGAGCAAACGCTTGCGCCAACCTGTGCGGAGATCATGCACGCAGGACTTTTGACAAATTATATTGAATTTGGTTTTCGTTTATGTCAAGGGGTTTTCGGGCAAGCCCTTATATCAATATGAAATCATGAGTTATTCAATCCTCGACGTCAGATTCGGATTCGTCAACATTGCCTGATGCGTAAAGTCATGCCGACAAAGCAAGAACTCCTTGTTATGAGCGTTGCCGCCAACCGCAAAGAGAAGCTTGACGAGCGGCATGGCAATTTGAGTCTCATGGGACTGTCTTGTCATCGGCGCAATATGCACTACTAAAGGCAATGAAGTCCTTTCAACGTTTTGTCGCAGCGCAAACGATAACTGCACTCAAAGACGAGTGGCTGCCGGATGCAAACCTTTGTTCGCAAGCCGTCAGCCGCCGGGCAAAATCTCCTTGGCGAACGCTTGCCAGGCCCCCAAGAATCGTAAATCCAAAGAACAGGAACAAGCATAGGCATATTTCCAGCATGGGCCCGGGCATACATGGATTGAGATGCTGGGGACGGAATGAGCTCCTTCAAGTGTATAGCCAGTGTTTGTGTATGCATGTATGCAGGTGGGTATGTATCTGCAGGCTGGCGATCGCCAAGCATGATGTGAGAAGTGCCCCCGCGCGGTTTATGAGTTAGTATTGCTTCCCAACATGTTGTGAGAAAGTTTGCCGTAAGAGCCAACGCAGGACCTGAAAGCGATTGAAATCCACGGTGAGCGTGCCCGTCGCATCACCTGACAAAGAGCTGCTTTTGGCAAGCTGGCCACGGTCAGGTTTCCGTCAGCTTCTGCAACTTGGCCAGGCCCACGCAGGACACAAGGTGCAAATGCACAGTCGAAGAGCACATCCTGACTTCAATCACACTTAGCGTAAAGCTCGCTTTCCACCGGCTTTCAGAAGGAGTGATGAGGCGAAGCATCACGCCAAACATGCCATTGGACTTCACAAGTGCCGGCTGTTGTGGGATTTGTCTGCTAGCCATCCCGCAACGGCCTCCAAGGCGTATGAGTAGGACATGCGCCCCTGCGTGCATGCGGAGGTAATCGGCTCAAGTCCCTCGACCAAAGCGACAACCTGGCATTCCAGGATATTCCAGGTTCTTGGGGCGGAGATATCTTACCTCAAGGGCAACTGCTGCTGTTAAATGAACATCTCACACTTGTGATACAGTCTTATGACCTGGACTTTGCAGAACACGAAGCCGGGCCTCCACTTGATTTCGGTTTAAATGCTCCTGCTTGCGTTCAGGGGAGAACACGTGACTGCAAGACTTGCAGTTGCTCGGCCTCTATTTGGTACTTTGTCAGGGACCATGCCTTGCAGGTAGAGGAGCCTGGCCAGCGACAACCTACTTAGTGCCGCACTGCAACATGTTGAGGTTGCCACAACAACTTCACTTGAACTCATAGTCTAAACTCCTAGTATCCCCCTTCATAGCCCCCTTTAATAATCCCTTATACTATCCCCTATATAATCCCCTTTCAGGAGTTTAGACTATAACTTCACTTGAACTCATAATCCGTGAGATCGGCCAGACGCGTTGTGGTCAGGAGCGCAGGTTGCAGGGCCTCGCAGAAAGCGCTTTGACATGGGTGGAGCTGTGCTGAGCACGGGGGCAGCGATGAAATATTTGTTGGGTCGGATTTGTCTACATTAGTAGACCCATCTCCCAGCCATTGCTGGAGATACTTCAATGCAGACCGGCCTGGGAAACTTGCTCTTTTGGCCTGTCAAGCTGCAGGGGACAAATCCGTCCCGGCCAAATTCATGAAGCTGCCCATGCTATGTCATGCTATTGTCCTCGCATACGATTGCACCAGAGTCTACGCTGAAGTTGTTTGTCGTTTCCGTTTATGGGACAAACTTGATTGCTAACTGCCGTGCCTCCGGACACAATGGGCTCCACTGGTCAATCTCATGAATGATGAGATTTGGCACTGCCAAATGCAAGAAGCCTCAGGTGGCTTGCCAGCAAGCTTTGCAAACTGCGCTGGGCGCAGATCCGCGGGCTGCTAAACGTCGGCTGCAGTGCCCACAACCAATCAGTGACGGCAGAGGGTCAGGAAGCCAGATTTCTGCAGCACTGCAGCTGCTAAGACCGACACTTCCAACAGAGTCATCTGGCTGCACCAGGCGCAAGCGTCGATTCTCAAAGTTTGTGAGAGTACCTAGCGCATGGGCAAACTCATGCCGCTGAGCTTTCCAGGCATGTTGTGCTTGTGACGGTGATGCAACAAGCCCATTCTTCTCGCCATCGATCGTTGGATGTCGAGCACGTCTGTCAGCAAACGATCTCTTCGATTTCTGTAGCATTTACATCCTTCGCTGAAGTGGGTCGATTTCTGGCAGTGCCATAAGACGTGTCGAGTCAAATGAATCGCTATTGTTTTTGCAAAAACCTGGACTTAATTCGCCCTTCGCGTGCCATCACGTTTTTGCTCAACAGAATATTTCCAGGATTGTCCAATTATATGATCGGCACCTTCTGAACATACGCAAGGTCATAACTGTTCCCCTAGGCAAATGCCATTTAAATGACGCTGCCCTCGAAATCCGGCCCTGTTGTTCAACGCATGCACCTACTCGCCTGGTCGCACATTTTGCGACCAAGCATGCAAAGACCAAGGCTTCAGACACTATCGTATTTTTGGTATGCTTCTGCATATCTCTGATTATGATCTTCCGCCGCAGGCCTTCTCTGCGCATCCACTGGGAATTCGTGATGCAGCAGTCTTTGCAATCTGCTTTGGGGCAGGGTTTTGCGCTGCTGCCTTTGCTCAAACAGAAGCTTCCAACAGCACTTTGCGAGCTGATGGAGACTGTTAATAGGTCCCATATTGAGTTGGAGGAGTGTCCTCGAATTGTTGCAGCCGCAGACAGCCCACGTCGGACCTGACGTGACACGGCTTCCTTGAATACCTCTCAGCCAAGTATTTGAACTTGATATAAGCCAAGCTCCCAGCACCGCGACTCGCACCAAGAGCTTCCGATCAGGGCTCAGCCCAGAGCTTACCAACTCCTGCCCAGGCTGTCTGACCCATTGACAGGATATGGCAACGTCACCCTTGCCTTGAAACGTTGGAAGGTCAAAGCCTCGTGAGAGCCCAGAAGAGCTCCTCCCGGTGTCAGCTCCTCACACTGCAGTCATAGAAGCACACTTCACAGCTTAGCTGTCTTCCTGAATTGCGCGCATGACAGTTTGCAGTGGTGTAAGCTCTTGTGGTGCACGGATTGCAGGAAATGAGGCAAGTGTGACACTACACGTAATGGACTGGTAGGGGTGAAAGTCCAGCAGTGTCCTGCGCTGGATTCTCCAACACAACCATCCACATTGCAGACTGCGGGTCGAAGATGTCCAGCCGGACCTGCTGCTTGCCCTTTGAATTGGTGACAAGGTTCTGCGGCTGCAGCCCTACAGCTGATGGGCAGAATTCAAGGTCCACGATGCCCCGCTCGCATCAGCACCCTCTCAGTGATGCATTGGCAAAGGATGGCATAGGAAAGTCCATGAAATAAACTAATACGAAGCGTTCTCAACTCCTGAAAACAAGGTTGAGGGTGGGTGTGAGTCAAATAACATTCGTGCTGTTCGCAGCCAGGTCGCAGCGCAGACATAGCCTTACATTGCAGCAACAGCAACAAAATGCCCCTACACTAGCAGCTGTGGCATTGTCATGGGTCATCGAGAAAACTTGCCAACTGATGCAACCTGCATGAGCCACAGACCACATGTCATCCACATTTGTAAGCTGTCGTCGCAAGTTTCAGAACTAGATAAAGTAAAGCTATATATGATGCTATATGTCTCAGGTGATTTTCAAATAGCTCAACTAAATTTCTGCGAGATAGAATCCCCACACCACAACGAAACGGCTGTCACACCGCAACCTGGAAAATCCTGTGGAGGGACCCTTTTGAGGCAAAGGCTGGTGCGCTTGCCTTCTACCTACTTCACTCTAAACAAGCTCAGTTGCTGGAGAGGCGGTTGCCAGAGTTTCCCAAGACCAGGCGGGTGTCACACAGCCCAAAGAAGATGCCGACGTACTCTGGCCACACCTATCCAACCAGGGGTACATGTACTGGAAACCTAGCAGTAAGATCCATGCCATTGCTTCTGCTCAAGCCTTCTTCGACCCACAACTGGAGCTGGGGATCAACGAACAACCATGTGACTTTTCTTCTTTCGTCAGCATTCTACCATCATGCTGTCATGCCTCACCATTCCGAGGACTATGAACGCGTGGACTGCCAGGACTGTCCCCCTGCCAGCAGAGCGTAAGTTGAACCACCGACAGTTTCCGGATCTGCGGCAAAACGCGCGGCTTGCCATGCTGCTGTGCAAAGCAGTTGCTTTCAGCTGCAGGTTCGGCGCTCCAACAGAGTTGCAGCTCTTGCAAGTTCACCATGGTTGTGAAGGTGAAACGTATCAGACACAAGAGACATGTGCGAAATCTTAAGTCTGCGCTTGAGCCAGACACAGGTGAGACGTGCTCGGCTGATCTCTTTCCAGCCAAGCACTGCTTCTGCTGCCAGCCTGGTCACCGGTCAGCCTAAGGTTGATTCCGAACTACCGCGTCCAAGTTCCTCAGTCGTCGATCCGGGCCACCAGCTCCATGTTCTGATCCCGCTGTTCTAGTGTTCGATCAACAAGCTCGAGCAAGGGCTTGTTCAAAGCGACTTCTGTGTCAGACATTTCAATCTCACGCTGCGCTGCCTTCCATTCCATCTGCTTGATAATCTCCTTCTGATTTGCCAAGCTGCGCTCCTTCCGATCGATGACCTTCTGTTTCTCCACAGTGTTGAACTCATGAGTGTCACGGTCCATGATCTGAGCTTGGATTGCGGTGAGGTACTTGTCCTCGTCTTTGCGGCCATCTTTCTCTTGCATTTGCTTCAGCAGGTAGGCCTGGTTTTCAAGCTTCATCTGCTTCAGCCGCTGCTGCTTGATGGACTCTGCCTCGAAATAATGGCGGTCAGCCTCGTCCTGCTGGGCACGTGCTCGGGCTTCATCGGTGTCACCTGACTCTTGCTTCATGGTGTTCACATTGTCTTGAAGCTTCTTCATGAGCTCTGACTGGCGAGCCATACGGTCACTGAGCTCCTTTGCCTTTGCTTCCTCTTGTTCATCCAAAAGCCGGTTATACTCCTTGATGGTTGCCGCCTCCTTGTCCTTGGCCTCCCTTGCAGCCTGGTCTCGCTTGATCTGATCCTGCTTGTTCTGCTCGAAGACCTTGCGCATGGCGCGCTTCGTCTGCTCCTTCTTTTTCTCGAAGCGCTTCTGGTCTGCTTCCATCTCGTTGACGATCTTCTCAACGAGTTGTGCCTCCTCATCCTTCTTTCGCTGTTCTTCCTGGTCCTTCAATAGCCGTTCGTAGCGGAGCTGCTCATCACGATCCTCTTTTTCCTTCTGGATTCGGTGATGCCTCTCTTCTTCTCTCTCCTTCTCCTGCACTTTCCAGCGCTCCAGCTCAAGCAGGGTGTTTTCATGATGCTTCTTCTCCTCCTCCAATGCTTCATCCCTTCTCTTCAGCTTGTCTTGGACCTGCGCATCTAAGTCCAGCCTCATCTTCCTCTGCAGGGCTTGCACGCCCAGCTTTTGACGAAGCGCGTCCTGCTCATGAAGATACGAGGCATATTCATCCAACTTGGACCAGTCATGCTTGCGCTTCGGTGCAAGCAAGTGCTGCCCAGCCAGCGATGTTGCGCTGCGGCTTCGTTGGCTCAGCCCTGTGTATTGACTTACACCGCTGATGGCCTTGGAGACCGTGGAGGCATCATCCAATGCCCGTCCCTGAGCCCGACTCTGGATGCGGCGCTCCAGGCGGTCCAGGTTATTGTTTGTGATGGGCGCCTTGCGGGCAAAGTTCTCGACCTCCTTCCGGATCATTGCCGAGTTCACTGAAACCTCGTCAGCTTCTTTGCACGCGCCATGCCCGAAACGACTCTTGAATTTCTCGGTCAGCTGATCCTTGAGATCTTCCCTCTTCTTGAGGTCCATCAATTTTGCTCGGCGCGCGTCAGACAATTTGGCATTGACTTCGAACTCGGAGGCATCAATTCGTTCAGCGGGCATCGCCATGGCTCCGACTAGAGACTGGAGGAGAAACACACCCCCTGAGCCCTGGAGAGCAGAAGTGCTGTCGGCCCAGGAATGCGGGATCTTGTTGTCGCTTTGAAGCTGGACAGACGCAAGAGCAATCGAAGCATCGCTCTTTCTTGATTTCTAGTAACTTAGCTGCGGCTGTCGAACTACCGAAATACTGGCTGTCCAACATTTGAAACAACCTGAACGAGATTGAATGGCGGTAGCAAAACCTGACTTACACTTTATTTCCCGCTCGGGATTCGTATGCTGGAGCTCTAGCTGGATGCATCTTGCATCGCTTCAAGGTACCAAGCGACAAAATGGCAGGATGCAGGGCTTTCACCATGCACTTTGCCTGCATGGGCTGCGCTTGGATGGGACTGGACCTTGCCAAATTTCGGCATGGTCCCCGTAAGGCCCCTCCCCGCTCCTCCTTATGGCTTGAAGTCGATGAGGGATTTCTCCTGTGCACGCCATGAAAAAGACATATTCCGGAAACTTGGCTTTCCAAGCACAGGCACAATTTGTCAGACAAACAGAAAATGAGCAGAAGCACACAACTCATACGCCAGCACGATGCAATCGGGAGCCCCACAGTCGCTGCCCAGACTTGTGGGAACCAGACTGTCAAGAGACTCCATCTCTTGACATTCCACGGGCTCCTGGAGTGCCTTCAGCTCTTTACGCATCTCCTCCTCATTGGACTTGAACTCCTGCAATTGAAGCTGCAATTGAAGAACCCCGGCGATCTGCTAGGAAGGCATGCGTTCCGCATTCAAGCATGGATTCCTGGATTTCTGCCTGCTTCAGCTATTGCGCTATCTGACAGACACCACACTATTGTCACTTCAAAATGTAAGTGTTAGCGCGTCAGATCACCCGTTATGGTGAGCACAGCGACGGAAGCGGCAAGGCGCAGGACCATGCTCACTGACGCAGCGACAATTCCAAGGTCAACTCCACCCTATCCAATGAGATGCCATCTGGCCGGGTGCCTCTGTCTTTGGCAACGCCGCGCTGATCTCTTCTTTGATTTCCTGGGCTCAGGACCGCTTGCTGATGAAGACAAGCAGAAGGAGCTGGAAAAGGCGAAGAAATGCAGGGTGACAGGGATGACGACATTCATGACGGCCACGAGCGGCTGCTGCATCTGTTGAAGATTTCGGCGGCAATGAATGAAGGTAGCAGTGGGTGTGATCAATGCAGGTAGCACATGTAGACACCTTTAGATGATTCAGAGATTCCGCGAACATGTTTGGAGGTACATTCTCTACTTCAGAAACATGATGCTCACCAAGTCACAGGGACACTTTTTCCATATGGCCCCGGTCCCTCAAAAACATGTTGCCGCATCTGTCTGGCTCCTCGAAAAAACCCATGGTTTTCTACATGAATTGGTCCATCAAGGACTATTTTGCACATGAATCTGGTCCCTCAAAGGCTTTTTTTTCAAACGCGGATCCTATACGCCAGAGTTGGCTGGAGTGTTTCTCGAATCGCAGGGTTGGTGGAACAAGTCTTGGAGAATCTTCGCTGTTGTGGCAGAGCGGTAGAAACACTTTGGCGGAAAGAGTTAGGACAACTTGGCCTGGGTTGTGGACAAAGTTGTGGAAAACCGTGTTCAAACCAACTAACTGTAGAACAAGATGTTCTAGCAGCATCCGGCCCACAGTTCTTGCAAAAGCACGGCCAGGTTTTTCCATAGCTTTTCGCCAGCGACAGGCAGCTTCGTCCATGATTTTCCGCAATGACACAAAGGGTTTCCACAACTAATTCGAAGTGACGCGCGGTCTGTCCACCACTTTGTCCGCACACCAACAAAGTTCTTTATAAACTCGTCGGTGCCGGACATGCGGAAAACAAGCCTGCTGTGTGGAAAGACGAGCCGGCGGGCGTGGAAAATCCAGCCAGCAAGCGTGAGAAAACTAGGCCCGCGACATCCAAATCATAGATTAGACGTGCTGCGTTGTGGTCCCCATTCTCGTATAGAAAACGTGTCTGCAGAAACCCCCAAAACGAGGTCATGAAGTGGGCAATTGGTACGAGTAACACAAAGTGCTGATGCTGAGGTGGCGGTCACAACAAGGATCATGCTGATGATGCGTGGTGATGTAGACAGTGCTTGAGATTAAGCTGTGACAAACGGCAACGAATCGAGACCAACTGTGCAAGGTGACAACCCGTATGTTAGTCATCATGAAAAATAGAAAACAAAATGACATATTGGCGATATGAAAGCCGATATTCAAGTGAAGGTGGCATGATAACGACGACGGTGGCAACTATGATGCCGAAGATGACTGAAATTGACAAGTGCGTGGATGACAGCACGTGGATAATCATGGTAAAGGATGGGTAGCAAACAAAGCCCAGCCTGACACGGATTCTATGAGCATTGATATGTATAGGCGTGCCAATTCCAAACTTGCAGCCACAAGCTCCCACTACACCCCTTCCACATCAGTCAGTCAAACCATCCTCAGGTTAGGTGTCTCAATCATCACTTGCCTTTACTCGTTTGACCTTGCTAGCCTTATGCCAGTCCTTCCTGGCAAAGCCGCCAAAGGAAAGCAAAATCAGCCAAGTCGCCGCCACCTGCTTCGGGTGCTGTGCACGCCGCCTGGCTAGCTGCGCCTCTACGTCCCGAAGACGTGCTTGCAGCTCCTGGGCTCAAAGCGGATCGAGATAAATGCTCAGTCGAATCAGTGGCAACCCTGATGGTTCTTTGATGTCGGGTTGCAGCCAATTCTGCCTCCCTGTCTTCAAGAATGTGCTTCTTTTCAGCCACGGCCTGAGCTGAGTTGGGAATGTCCCAGGGTTAGAGATAGTAGCAGCATGCTGCTTCACTGGTGTCGATTTTCTATCTACAGACCCCTTTAAGCAGCTGTCATGCTTTTGCTGTGCCATGCCAGCCCTCGCTAGTCTTGTACGCATCCCCTCTTGCCCGTCTGTGCCGGCTCACCGAAATTCTACACAAGCCAACGTCAAAATATGAGCAGAACTCAAGCGACAAGACAGGCAAGACACCAAGTCATTCTGGTGCGCCGTCTGCTGCAGAGCTTCCTCACAGGTGCAAGCCATGCATCTATCCAACCGCAAGGAGACGTGCCGCTAGATCTGGCTGGCTTCTTGACGCTGACATGGACGTTCAATGTACCTTCGGGACGACTCATCAGACTGCAGGTCTCCAACAAAGATGAGCGAGAGCTCTCATGGGAGCTCGCATTTGTTGCACCTCCCATTGCGGAGACTGCTTCCTCTCCTTCTTCTTCTTCTTCTCGGCTTTCTTGTTGCAGTTGCTGTTGCTGATGCTGCCTGTCTTTGCGTTTGTTCTTGTCCGCGTTGTTGTACGTTCTCATTATTCTTGCTGTTGCTGTTGCTGTTGTTGTGGTGGTTCTTGTTTCTCTGCTGGGCCACTGCTTAAGCGCTTCATAAGTGGGAAGTACTGCCTGTCCTTGATATTCTTCAAGTACTCACGCCGCTCTTCCAACGTCTTCTCGACGGTTGCAACTTTTTGCTCCGTCTGACGCGCTGACTTCATAATCCTTGGCGGCAGGAAAATTTCATTTCTCTAGACAGGTAACTGCGAGATTTCACGAATGAAGTCAGTGCTGTTTGGACCTACTCAGCTGGAGCTTCCTAGCCCCAGCCAACGACACCACTCTCATCCATCCACAAAGGGCTCACCTTGTTATCTGTTTACCTGGATCTGGGAGATTCCCAACTAGGGGGACCCCAATATAGACACCAAAAGACTATAACATACTATAATCCTTATTATGGGGACACCAAAAAAAAGGTACCCAGAATTTTGGGAAACCCTAAACCCCATATGTCCCCATATAACCCCTAGAATCCTTTTAAAGGTACCCCTTACTTTTGGGAACCCCCCCCATCTTTGCCGTGTAACCCGAGGCGTAGCTGCCTGAGCTCCTCTGCCGCGATGTTCTCAGCACTCATTCTCACAAAAATTTCCGCAGAATCCTGGGGCTTAGGGGTTAGATAGGGGTTATCTGGGGACATATCGGGGGACATATAGGGTTTAGGGTTTCCCAAAATTAAGGGTACCCTTTTTGGGGGTCCCAAAAAATAAGGATTATAGTATATTGGGGTAATATGCAGAATCCTGGCTGGAGGGGGTATATTACGGTAATATTGGGGTTATATTGGGATTATGTTAGGGTAATATTTGTGTAATATTGGGGCCATATATCTCCGCAGAATCTTGGGGGAATGGAGTTTATGAAGTGCCTGTTCACATGCTCACCTGTTCTGGTAAGCGGGTGGGGAGGTGCATCGTATTGCTTCAATAAATATGAAATAACCCTGGTCTGTCCCTTTCTATTCCAAAGCCACACAACTTACAGCTCAACTCTGCAGTCCTTTGCAGCTTGATGCTTATGTGCCCGAAGCTTCGCTTCTTGACTCTGCAGATGGCGTATTTCTTTGCGCAAGGCCCGAGGCTCCTGCAGGGCTGTTCACGCCATGCCATTAGCATGAGGATTGCACACTGTATGCCTCTGGAACTGCCTTTCTACTCCAGATGCCTCGAATCTGATAAGCCGAGTTTTTGCGTCAACTTCGCGTATGTGAGCCAGCTGCGGGTTAAGTGCATCATCGCTCCCGCCGCGCTCCTTATCCTGTACCCGGAACCGATTCTTGGCACACAAGTTGCTGACTCTGCCCAGGCTGCGATGAGACAACCTCAGCACTTAGGGAAATCTCTCCTTGCTCTGACGTCGAGTTCACGGCAATTCCATCCATAATCCTACTTCAGGCACAAACCAGAAGGCTGAACTATGGGAGGGAACTCTGGCGCTAACGAGAACATTTACATCACTCAAGCTCAATGCAGCTTCGGTGCCTGTTGCTGTCCAGCTGGACATACTGAATGTATCGTAAAGCCTGTGCAGTTGCTGGATCAGGTTGCACTTTGGATTGTTTGGGACCTGCTCCCTCTGTTGTCTGAGGGATCAACAAACTAGATTTAAACAACTAATTGAAGGATCAACAGAATTGAGTTCAGGTTCCAAAACCAAAATGCTCTAGTTGGGGGCTCAAACTACGGTGAATTGCACAATAGGGACGATCAAAACATGAATTAAGGATCAAAACGAATGCTGTAGCTAGACTTAGAGAACCTCAATAACTGTCAATGCCGCGGCTTGGATGTGTTTGGAAGCCGAAATACCATGAGCAGCACAATCTGAAGGTGTTTGGCTCCAAACACTGTAAACGTTTGGGTGCGGAGGTGTTGGCAAATATTGCAAATTGGAGGTCTTCGGAGACTGCAGATACTGTAAATGACGCAGGTGGTAAGGCTGTTCGGAGGATCCAAATTTCGCCAAGAACGCGAGTGGGGCACGGATAACGATTAGCACATGTAGAATTTGGATGTAATGCTGCCAGAGCTTCCCAGCCATTGTGGTTGATCTAGAACAAGGGGGAGGTTTAGGGCTGCACAGCCCCCCTTTCCAAGACATGGGCTTGAGAAGATAAAGTGGTAAGGGGGTCCGGGGCCCAACCACCTGATTTGCTGCGGGCCAAGACGAGAACATGAATGTAGGATCCTGCTCAATCCTGACAGGAGTAAGCATGGGGATCGGGGACGCAGCCCCCTCATCTGCAAAGCTTGGAGGAAGATGCGAACATGCTTGTTGGTCAGTCAGATAAGACTTGCCAGTTATCGTGTCTGCTGTTCAAAACGACAACGAAACAACAAAACTATCTAGTCATAACTTGAGTCACGCAATGTCTGCCCCTTCCGTCAACATCTCTAGCCTGCTGCAGGGGTCCCTCCATCTACCAAACCTTAAATAGTGGTATCTTGAAACAAGGTTTGGGAAATGAAGCCCATGAGGATGTTCATGCGAAATTCGCCAGCAGAACCATCACGTTGTGTTTCGTACTGGAAGCCTGAAACCAGGCCACTTGCATCTTTTGCTCGCATTTGAACACATCGGGGTATTGAGGGGTTGCGCAGCCGCGGCCATATACAAACGAGACTCAAATGCGGCACCGGTCCATGTCCTTGCACCCTCCTTCCTGCTCCAACTTTTGCTCCTTGCTTTTAGATCCCCCCTCAACCGAAGAATCCAAAGGACCCAGGGATTTCTTTGAAAGGATGAGCCTCGATGAGAGCTATGTCCAGGGAGTCGTCCAAGAAATTATCTGACCTCAGAAGGAGTCCTGTCTGAAATGAGGACAGACAGCTTGCTGTTTCATGTCTCCACATCAGGTGACCCTTTTGTTGCAAAAATGCCAAGTTGCAACCGCAGAGACAGCAAGCGCCGATTTTCCCTACCCACAGAAAGGGCTAGCCAACTGTAGACTGTCATGAAAGCAGGAAGCTTCAGGTCAGGCTCAAATCAAAAAGGCTGGCTTTCATTCAAGCAGAAGAAAGGTGTTCAACAGCATCAAAAGGGTACAGTTACAGCCCGCCAGCCCCGCAAAGTGCTGGGGTAAGCTAGACTGCTTCGCGAGTCTTCGGAATCGAGGCGTCCTATCTCCCACATGCAGCAATTGCAGTTCCCCGTGCCTCAAACGAATCAAAAGGAAGGTTGCCCCAGGACGCCCAATGCGGCAGCTGCCCAGCTCTAATGTGCGTAGGGGCGGGCCATCTGGAGGACCTCGGTTTACCAGGCTGCCACGTGCATATGCTGGACCTCTTCCGTTCGCCTCCTTGAACTGAAGTCGTTTAACTCGTCTAGTAAAGTTGGAACGCCGTCCGTTCTCCACCTTCTATGAACTGAGCAGAAGATTGCCCCTGCAAAACATCTCTTCGAATCGGTCCACCGTCACTGGGTGTTAGTCGAAACCTTGATGCGGCAATAGGCTTACTGCCATCAGCATCGGGATGCTGCAAAGACCGAGCGGCAACTTTCTGCATCGACCACATCCACCAGCTGACAGACTCCTACAAAATTCGGCAGCTTCTCTCTGGCTGACATGCGCCTGAATGCTTGGACGGTCCTGCATTGCCGATTGGATTTCTGTTCAAGCGCAGTGTTTGCAGCATCGTGCCAGCAATGATCTTGGCCAGGCCTGCCAATGCCTGCAGCAAGTAGAAGTGGCAAATGTGGTTGGCAGAACTGCTTGAAGGCTTCACGGTACTCTGGGAAATCGAAGCTTCCGTCATCATGCTGGGAGCCTTGGACCTCCTACCAAGGTAAGGGACGATGAGGGACGTCGGTCCACGGAACCTCTTAGCCTGTAAGCCACACACAACTTTTTGCACTAAGTTTTTGACAACTCTGAAATGCTGTGAATCAGAAGTTGCTGTACTTCCAAGCCTCAGCCTCTGAAATGCCATTCTCAGACAAGTCAAGCTCCCGCAAGCATGTCATCTGCGAGTTCAGCAGGCAATCCTGCGTGTGCTGCTTTGACACAACTGCAAAGAAAGCTGCTTCATGTGTTTTCTGTTCAACCTAAAATATACTATAGTAGTTCCCATTCTACTTTCCATTATCCCTATATAACCCCTATAAAACCTTATACCCTATATAACCCCTATATAGATAGTATCTGTACAGCCAGTCAGCAGGTGCCAGCATCCGATCACTGCACGGGGCCGAGTGGAAACTAGTTTGTCAAGTCTCTGCCAGAGCTATGACGCCCTCTGTCTCGATGGCAGTGCCGGCCATGTTCAGGCACAGCAACCTGAAGATCCAGCAATTTCAACTCAATGAAATCTTCAAAGCATGCCAGCTTGAAAGAATTCTGGGACATAGGACCCCATGCAAGAGCAAGGAGCGAAGCGCAGGAGGACAGGCTCCGAGCAATCCGCCGCATCGGTCGAGGCTCCAAGACGTTGCGGGCGATCGAGAGGGAGGTCAATCGGTCAGCTTTCCTGAGTTTCTGAATCTTCCCCCCTTTGCAGCACGTGGTCGAAGAAGCGACGCCACACATTTTCTGGCGCGGTGTTCTGTACAATATAAGCATGCTGGCTGAGACAGGGGCATACCTGTGTCATGTGCATCATGCTTACGTAATGCAATGAAGTGTATTTGGAGCCCAGTCTCTGTAACAAGTCACAAAGCTTTCCATGGATGAGCTCTCCTCGACATCCAGTTTCGGAAATGTCCTGCTTGAGTCCGTTTGAGCACTGTTCAATCTTGCTGCTCTTGCATGTGCAAGAAGCTGGCTAAACTGATGAGGCAGCACAACATAATGCATTTACGTATGGAGGCAAAGTCTCCAGCGTCTGCAGCTTGACGCAGCTGGGCAGCAGGTTTGAGATGCCCTCGGACGTCAGCGCATTGGAAGACCTCATGTCCAAGCAGCTGCACACCCCATCAAAAAGGAGTAGCTTGGCCATGGCACCCATCACTCAAATAACATTCGACTGCAAATGGGAGTACGCAACCGAGCGCGCCTGTCTTCTTCGATTGCTGTAAGCGCCCTCTTCAAACACCATCCCAATGACAGAGCAGCTCAGAGCCTTGAGCTCTAACAGCTGAGCATCTGGCACATCCAGACTTGTCAGGACGGAGTCTGCTTCCAGAAATGCCTTGGGGCCATATGAGGCTTTCTAGTCCTAGCCTAGATGTGTGAGTTGGCCGCTGTGCAAAAGCTCTGTATACATAGGCACTCATTTTTCAGCCCGAATTCAGGCGGCGAAGGCGATAAGGAGTGACGTGCTCGGTTTATCTCAGTTTGCTACCTCCATCCTCCTACGATGCGCCAGTAGTGAGAACCATTCAGATGTAAAACGTTTCACTTGTCTTCAAATCACTTTGGTGATCAGAAAAACGCCCAGTTGCTGAGAGTTTCTGTCCGGCGTCTGCGCGAAGCGCTACACGACCCAGGCTGAGGGAAGCCAGGCGCCGGTGTGGGCAGCGGCTAAGTGCGGAGAGAAGTGACTCCAAGCCTCTTGGCAAACGCTGGAAGCTGCGTTTCTGTGGCCATTATGTGCTACTGTGATTGGTGCCCTTCTTGTGACCTTCCTTCATGGGAAGCTTGGTACACCCCTTTCGGCTCTCTGACCCCCTTGAGATATTGTGTCGGTTCAAACTCCTAGTTGTATACATATGTCAGGCTTCTTACTGCAAATTCTGAATGTCCCTGCAGACAGAAAAGTCTTAGCTTGATCTTGTTGCGTAACAAATTCAACGCTCTCCAGCCACTGCATTTGTAATGACGATCTTCTGGCATACTGCACGCAATCATCTGCTTACACACATCCGGTTTGAGAGGTTGCATCATACGAGAACTCGGCCAATTGCTGGTGTTTCCGGTCTTCAACAGCCATGGCACGCCAAGACTCTTCAACCTCAAGCACAGGAGGCCATCCAACAAAGCAGCAATTGAGCAGCTTTGGTCACGTTCTGTCAAATCCCAATTCCGACTGGTGAAGACAATCTATTTCTTGAGTGCGCAACCTCGCACACTGGGTATACACGAGGTGATCCTGGCTCTTCGCCTACAAATGCTTGATCTGCCTTCCGTGGTTATGTGGTTCGGCCGTGAGCGGGCAAGCTTGATCACGGTGCTGTAGCCAGGGCTGGGTTCGCCGAGCGCCAAATGCTCCAGCCTCGGAATTGGCTTGAAAGGGACTGCTGAATAATCAGAAATCCATGTCTCTGAGAATTTCCCTGCATACAGTAAGCCCGCGTCATCTCGTTGGTCTGCAGCTCTGCATTGGCAATCTCCTTGACACCAGCTGGACCTGAAAAGCACAATTGAAAGAAAGCGTAAGGGCCGGCTGTCAGCTCACACCTTTGCCCCATCGATAAGCATTATATGGAGGACATGTCTTGGTATCGTACTTAAACTGCTTGCGTTCAACGATTGCTGTATGTGGTACTGTACACGCGATCAAAATTTGGAGAATCCTCAGTGCTGAAAACAAAGCGCAGCTGTGGCTCCCAGGATGTTGCCAGCCAGGAGGATGCTCTTTAGCTGTGGGAGGCCATGGATCAAGCTTGCGATGGCTGCTGCAGAGTTGTCGCCCAACTGGTTGTCGCCTTGTCATCACCCCAAACATACGGACCGAAGCTCCACGAAGCCTGCATATTTGCCAAGTTGCTCAGGTCCAGTCGAGTGAGACTCTTTCCTCGAAGCTGCCTGAGGATGACCCTCACAAAGGAAACTCTTACCCGCATCTGTGTGGATTTAAGGTGGATTTAAAATACCGATCTGGAGATGCAGATGCGTTTAAGGGCAGATGCAACCAGGACATGTGGCAGGGCCAAGCAAGAAGCCCCGGCAGCGCCCATCCGTAAGCTGCGGAAGGAAAGCCGGTCCTGTTGGATAGCCGCTCAAGCAATAGCTGCCAGCACATTGCAACTAGTGGACCGACCCAGTACTATTGAACTATTGAAGACTCGAGACATGTGGCTAACACTCAGGGTCTGTCACCAGTCTCCGGTCTCCTCGGCTGTCCACTGTTTCTCGGACCTGGGCGAACAGAAGCACGAGCTCAAGATACATTTATCCCACATCTGAGGCTAAGTCTTCTCAAAGTCTGGCCTGAGGACTACACGTTCGCATCCTCGGTGTCTGGCTGTAGGCAGACGCCGTAGAGGGACGCCTTGGAGCTCCTCATGATATTGGTGCAGTGAGCAGCACCTGATGTAAAATTGGATTGAAGTGTGCCGCAGTGTGCCTGCTGGCCGCGGGCCCGGAGGAGCTTGTAGTGCCAGGTGGGTCGCAGGGGTTGCCGGTGTCTGACAGAAAGGGAGCATAAGCCCTCGAGAGGCTTGAGGTTCACAAGCATGACGCTGCCTTCACGTTTGGTGCTGGCAGCGGCGAAGGGTTCTGGGCCTCAATCAGCCAAGGAAAGCAGGCGGTCCCAGCCTAAAAAGGAGGTCTTTCCGCCGGCATTCTTCTCATTCTTGCATTCAAGGCTCTCGAATGTGCCTTGGTCTTTCTCTCTGCAGCTAATGCATAGAGACCAGGTCAGCCAGAACTGTTGCGAGCACATCGACAAGCAAAGCTGACACGCACTTGCAGGCCTCGCAACGATTTGCTGTAGCGATAGCGCGTATGTTAAAGTCTGGTGCAGTGTGACGCTTTGTCGACCTAGCTTTCCACAGTTGAAACATGGCAGACTCTCAGAGGGAATTTCCCTTGGCGCTCTCACCCTGGCGCA